AACACATTACGTAAGCGTTAAATACAATTATGAACATCCACCTAAATGGAAAATCCTTTTCAGATTTCTGTGCAGAAACCTCTGTAAATCATAGGCTTGATTGTGGAACTGGCAAACGTCATATTTGATTCATTTAAAAAACGCAGTATCCTCGGATATTTTGACATTTAAGATAACTTGACCTTTGTCATTTAAATTATTTCATAAAAGAAATAAATTATTTCATGAAATAAATATTAGGTTTTACTATTAGTAACCTAGTATATCTTTTATTACTGTATAATGTAATCCTAGTAGCTACTAATTCATAGTGTAATTTATATAAATTTTTGTAATAAATAAGAAAAAATATTATTTTTGTTTACTTAGAAGCGACGTGTTAGTTTCGAAGGAGGACGGGTACATTGTTGGACAAGCCGTCCTCGGGGAAGGGTAAAATTTCTGAGTTTTTTCTAGCCCTGCTACAGGCGTATATGGGTACAGTACAGTAATGGGTAAAACTTCTACGGAAATATATTTGTAGTCATTGCAGATTCATTTAAAAATTGATTAAAAAAGTTTGTCTGATTGTTAATCTTTTTACAGATAGATGAAGCTTGATGGAAAAAAAATATACCGGTCTATAATAGTTTGGAACTTAGAAAATAGTAACTTATCGACTCTGTAACTGCTAAAAAAGCAATAATCAGCTCAAGCATTTAAAGCAGATGAAGCTTTTTAAAAAAAACATATTTTTTAATGCAATTATTTGTTTAGATAGCAATAACAGCATAATTATTTCAGAAAATTTGTAATTTTTAGAAGAATAACGTATGTTTATAACGTATAGTACCAAATAAAAAATCTTAAGATTAAATAGTTAATTTTCCTCGACTTGGTGTTAGTTTGAAGTTTTTTTAAAACTCGTTTTATTGTTTATTATAATAGCTCATAAGTTTATAATAGCTCAGCAGCAATGCAATGCAGATATTAGAAGAAATCGTGAAATTTCATTTTAGATTTAATAAAGGTGTGACTCTCACATATGAAATTTTTTTTTCTTTTTATCATATATTGGTTAAATTAACATTGAATCACATAAGGCAAATATATATTTATTTGTTGTTTGCTTTTGTGAGAAATTTTGATTTGAACTTATGTGACCTTTACTTAACTGCATTATATTATTCAATCCAGATCAATTCGTGCAGGAAAAGTTTCTTATGAAATTATACAGATTTTTTTTCTTCTTCTTTTCTCTATTCTTTTTCAATATTCCCACGGATGTGATGAAGCATTATCCACGGCAGCTTAAATGAGTCAAAATTTTCAGTGAGTATAGTTTTGACACATTTCTTGTGGGAAGTAAACAAACACAAATTTTTTTAAATAAAAAGTGAAACCGTTTATTATATTTTTCGGACGTGACAAACTAAACGGAAATGCAGCTGAAACAGAATGGTGAATTTACTTCAAGGATGTTCATTAACACGCGGAAACTGCTTAAAATGGCGTACTAAAAGTGTGATTGGCCTTTCAAAGAATGCAGTGTTTCTTTTTAATGTATTTAAAAAAAATTTCTTTTTAATCAATTAACTATCAGTTCCAATATTAAATTGATAGTTGATTGATTAATGAAATGTCTATTTATCGATATTACTTCATTTCAAAAAATGAATAACAGCTTTAAATAATATCATGAGTTACTTGAAGATCATGCGTCAATGGTGTTTAGAATTGTGAAGCTCTGTGACCCCCTTGGCCCTCAATGGGCTGTTGCGGGAATGTGTTTACTTTAATTGTGTGCAGAGAAGAAGGCAAAGATGGCAATGCACATTGGCTCAAAGCCTTTGGTTTTAGGAACCATACATACGTTACTAAGACATTAAACCAAAAAAAAAATTCTTATATATTTTTTTTCCTTTTGCACAGAATTAAATTAAAATCAAAGTTAAAATTTTAACTATTATGGAAAACTCATCTTTTATTCTTCCTTTTTGTCTTTATCTTGTTTAATCTTGAATAGTGTTGAAAATGTAATATAAATGAGTGCACTGCACATTTTAATAAAAGGATGCACATCATTTAATAACACACATTAAAATGAAAAAAATTTAGTTCAATCATCTATATTAAAATTTGAAAAGCATAAATATTTTATTCAATATATATATANTAAATAGTACCTGAATAATTATAAATTTCTGTGACAAAAATGTTTTTTAACAGATAAACATTTGACTCAAGCAAAATATTTTATTATAAATAAGTATAAAACGTTTTGTGCAATATATTGTATTCCATATCATTTATTTTAGCGAATTGTAATACAAAATTCTTAAATCTTTATAAATTTGAAATTTTTCCTTATTTCTATATCTTTATTTATTTATTATTTTTTTAAAAAATTTAAGCAAATATTTTCCTGTTGAGAAAATTAATTCGTTCTGCTGAATTTGAGAAATTGTAAATAAGTGTTTATAAATATATCTATTAAATATATTTATTAAGGGTTACAAAAAAATTCTAACTCTCAAGCCCCTGTGAATCTTCTACGGAACCCTAGGGCTCTTCGGAACACGTTTTGAAAGCCGCTGAGTTAGGAAAATGACCGAGGATAACTAATTTTTAATATTTTATGTCAATGAAAATTATTTCTGCAATAATTTCCTGGAAAATATATATAAATAGAGTATGAAAGAAAAACATAACTTTTTTACAAGAAAAAAAAAACTTATAGCATTTTAAATAATTTTTTTAATTTTCTTGAAACGATTACGCTGTGCCAAAAATCCAAATTCAGTCAATGAAAAATAAAAAAAGAACGAAGAAAAAAACGAGAATTTCCTTTTGTCTATTCTTTAGGCAAAAGATTACCAGAGTCACAGAAAAGATTCTCATATTTTAAGTATTTTAACTATTTATAAAAATTCATCCGTTTTGTTTTGATTTTCAAGTTGTACGAAACAAATTATTTTAATTTTATCAGATCGTTATCTTGAATAGTATCAAGGAAACATTTTGCTATTCCACAATCGGTGCAAATTTGATTTTGATAGGTTTTGAAATTCTTTTGTTCAAAAAGGGCTGCATTCTTGAAATTTTATAGTTACATGTCAATTGCATTGTTCCTGTCCCAAATATCAACAAACGAAATATTATTCACAGTTTAAACGCTTACAAAGCGACTAATGTTGTTCAAAATTGTCAAAATCACTGAAACTTTCGATGTCCAAATCATTTGTCACCAAATCATTATTTCTGAATGTAGATGTTTATTTGGCTTTTGGGGGACATCAAAGTTATTTAAATGATGCCGAAATAACAATAAAATAAAATAATGATTTCTATAGTAATATTTTTACATTGTTCTCCGGAGCAAAAATTAACTGAAACATTTAGGAGAGAAGAATACCGCTCTATGTGAAATTCCATATAAAGCGGCATATAATATAACTACTGGAAGGTACAATACGCATTTGTATTGTCGTTTTTGACTTGTGAACAAATTTTCAATGATAATTTAAAGACTTTACTTTAAAAAAAACTTCTATGAATATTTATAATTCTAACAGAAGTAGAGTTATTTATTATAATAATTATAGAAAATACCCTAATTATTTTTGTTCACATCAATATTATATGAAATTTTAAAACATAAAATTAACAATTTATAACGTCAAATATTGGATAAAAAATTTCAAATAATTTGTGCTTAAAAATTAAAAAGGCTGATATAAATATAAAAATTTTTGGTTTAAGTTAAGTTTTTAGAAATCATATTTTATTTATTATACTATCGATTATTGTTATAGCATAAAATTAAACTAGATCAGCATAGTTTGTCAATATTTTTGTCGATACTCACACTAGATTGCAGTCTAGAATTTGGTTCTTCGCAGTGTCTAGAATTCAGAAGAGTCGTCTGGAATTTAGTGCTTTAGTGCTGCACGTCTAGAATTTAGTGCTTCGGGAAAATTTCATTCTCAGATTTTCTGTAAATACAGGCATATATCATTGCACAGAAAAAAGGTTCAAACTTTTGCAGAAATAGATCTTTTATCATTGTAGATTCATTTAAAAATTGATTAAAAAAGTTTGTCTGATTGTTAATCTTTTTACAAATAAATGAAGCTTAATGAAAAAAATATATTTACATGGTCTATAATATTTCGTGACTTAGAAAATAATAACTTATTGATTCTGTAACTGCTCAGAAAACAATAATCAGTTCAAGCATTTAAAGCAGGTGAATCTTTTTAAAAAGAGGAAATTTTTTATTGCCATTATTTGCTTAGATAGCAATAATACCATAATTATTTCTTCAAAAAATTTGTAATCTCTATAAGAATAACGTATGTTTTAGGAAGTACTAAATAAAAAATCTTAGGATAAAATAATTAATTTTCCTCGAGTTGGTGTTAGTTTGAAGATGAAACTCGTTATAATGCTGATTATAGCATTTTTTTTTTAATGAAAAATTGTATTTCTTTCTTTGTTTTCGCACATTTAATATCCATTCCCCTCTGAAAAAAAAGCAAAATTTAGCATGGAGAAATTCTAAGCATTTATCCCTCTATTATTTCACGAATATACACTTATTATCACCGAAACAAAAGCATAATTTTTTTTCAAATGTGAACTGTTAGTTTTTCATTATTTTCAAGCTGAAAATTAAAAAGTGAAGAAGCGGCTATTAAAATTACAGTATATATCGAATATAGCAGTCGTACCTGTACATTTATACTTTCTTTAAAGTGATTTTTTTAAATGATATAAATATTTTATTTTGAAAACATGAGTATTAATTACGAAAAAAGAAAGAAAAATGAAGTCAGAGTAAATGCTTAAAAGAGCGAGCAATAATGACATATCATAGAAATACATTAAAAAAAATAGGAATGAACACCCAGGCACAACTTTTTCTTTAATTATAGTTTATAAATAGAAATATTTAATTCTGTGCTTATTTATCAGTTTCGACAAAACCATTAGTCTTATCTCGTATTATCTTATTAAAGGCAAAGAGCCATGGTGGGTGTGTGAAAGCTTGAATAAGTTTCTTGTCCATCGATCTGACTGGGGAGCCAAGGAACCAACAGGAGTACTCCAGTGCCTACCAGGCCCAGTGGAATATATTATTATTCACCACACAGTCACTCCCTCCTGCACTTCTTTCACAGAATGCTCAAAATCTATGAGAACAATACAACTACAGCACCAGAAGGATAACAGTAAGAAAAATTTTATTATACTTTTAATTATAATATAGAGGAGGATGAGTAATCAACGTCCTCAATTTATAGGGTGCTCACTAAAATTTCAATTCAAATTCTGAACTTTCGATTTCTTGTAACTTTCGGTTGTCTAACACTTCTAAATAAAAAAAGGTGTATAGGCATAGCAAGTGGCCATGCACAATAAGATTAGACAGTTTACAGCGCCACTTGACAGAAAATTACGGTATTAGCGTTCGTTTCTATCTCGAAAACGGTACAATATGTGAGATACAAAGCTGTAGAATATCATCGATTTAGTAAATATATATACCTTGTAAAAATTAATGCAAAAACGAAAAACGCTCAATTTTTTTTTTTTTTTTTACGTGATGAAGTTGATAAAAGAACTGCAGCTTGATTAAGCTAAAGAACTTAACTCATCAGTTGTATAGAACGCAGTTGGTGAATATGATTACGAGATAAAACTATTTCAAGTAGGGATAGAATAAAAATTTTGTTCAGGGTTTAACTTAGATTGGGAAGAGAAGTAACAAAAGCTCTTTTTCTTAGATTGTACTTTTCTGGTTACCATAGCAGTAGACAGCATCAGACTTTGTGATGGGAGGAGTTCTTTGGTTAGACAGACAATAGTTTTCATGGAGTACCTTTATTACTAACAATTAATATTTTACAATTGTGTTGCAGGTATTATACAGGTATGATGCAATAATTAAGTGGTTTTTCCGCTTAAGACCATTTCGTCAATTCACAATTGTTTCATAAACAAATAAATGCGTTTTTAAGTATTATTTTCTTAGAATTAATCTTTAGAAAATGTTTATTCATTATAAATCAACGATTTTATGCAACTTTGCAAATCACTTTTTTTTTATATCTCTTATCATTTTGGAGACTCTATCAACTCTATCAATTATCTCTTATCAACTCTAAGTGTACCACCACCGGATAATGCAATAAGGGATCTTTCATTGTGGCACATTGCTACTTAACTATGTTTGATATGAACTAAATGTAACTTGATAGAAACTGAAACATCACAAAATCTGATAATCAAAATGCCAATTAGAGCAAAGAGAATAAAAATAATTAAAGCTAACGGTTTGTCGGATAGGACTGAAAACTGGTTAAAACTAAGTGAGAGTAATAGAATTGAATTAAGATTGTTAGACAATTATGAAAAACTTTGTTAATGACTTTAAATCTAATTATTTTCAGATAGACCTAATTTATCAGATTTTGCTAACGTTCTTAATTCTCAACAAGATATTCATTTGTCGTTTCTAATTTGCACGTTCGAATAAAAAATTGACACCGTGGAGACAGCGTAACTCAAAAAATTTAATTTTTGTAGATTTTTCTAAATCAAAATAAAAAAAGGGATTAGCTTTTTAAGGATAGTCGCGAAAAAGATGTATATATCAACGATTCGAATAAAAAATATTGTCAAAGATTTATAAGAATTTTTTTATGAATATTTAGATAATATTATAAAATTGAGTAAGATATCAACGATTCAAATAAAAAATATTATCAAAGATTTATAGGAATTTTTTTTATGAATAATTAGATAATATTATAAAATTGAGCAAGATATCAACGATTCAAATAAAAAATATTTTTGAAGATTTATAGGAATTTTTTTTATGAATATTTAGATAATATTATAAAATTGAGTAAGATATCAACGATTCAAATAAAAAATATTTTCAAAGATTTATAAGAATTTTTTTATGAATATTTAGATAATATTATAAAATTGAGTAAGATATCAACGATTCAAATAAAAAATATTGTTAAAGATTTATAGGAATTTTTTTTATGAGTAATTAGATAATATGCATTATAAAATTGAGTAAGCCACTCAGACACACAACCTAGTGAAATTTAGAGCAATCATATAATCATGCAATTATATAATTAATCCATCATATAATAATATAATAAATGATATAATCACATAAATTTTTCCTTTTAGAATGGCTAGACATAGGTTACCATTTTGTGATCGGAGGAGATGGTCATGTCTACGAAGGTCGACCGTGGTACAAAGTTGGAGCTCATACAAAATATCACAATAAAAAATCTATTGGTATTGCTCTGATTGGAGATTTTGATAAAGAAGCACCAGATCCATCTATGCTAGACCTTATACCGAAAATTGCATGGTGTGGCGTGGAAAAAGTAAGTTAAATCAATACGCCAATTTCTTATAGCATAATTAATTTTAAAGAAAGTAGCAATAAAATTAGTAATTTTTAAAAAGTGCAGAGTATGGGTTTATCGGATTGAAAATAAATCGGTATGTCTAAAAAGGTTTAAACTTAAAAACCAAAATTCCAAATTTATTTTTTTCGTTAATTTTTCTTTTCAAAGTTTTCATATGATTTAGCCACTATAAACATGGTTTAAAACAGATTTGTATTGGAGCAACGTTGTTACAAAGTTCACAATTCTCTTTTCTGAAAATAAAACTTATTTAAAATCAAAGCCGATAGCAACACAACAAATCATTCAATTGTTTTTTATTTATAGATATTTGCATAATCTAGTTATTATTTATTTTTAAAAAAAAAACATGTAAGTGAATGTTGAATCCTCAGAAGATTCCGAATACATTTAAAAGTATATCATTTTACTAAATATTCAAATTTCTGAAATCTCACTCGATTGAAATTTCAAAATGCGATTTATGTAATAAAAAAAGACTATGTTCATTATAAATGCTTTATTAACGTCCGATATATAGTAAGAAATTCAGGATCATGGTTTAAAGTATCGGCACTTTGGGTGCATTTTACAAAATCCATTTTTACCGCAAAATACTTCCCCGCAACTTGTACGGAAATACTTATTTACTGAGAGTGATTCAGTGATTTTACCGTAATTATTACTGCAAAAAGACGGTGTATCAGATTTTTTGTTCTGTAACATGTCGTGGAGAAAATAAATTTTACTGCAAAAAGTACCGGCTCCTTGAGTGCCAGTACTTTTTACCGTAATTTGATCTGAAATTTTTGTTGCTTTGTAGATGCATCTGAAACAAGGGTCGCATGGGGTTTAAAAAGTAAAAGAAGTTGGGTCTAATTTTACCATTTACAAGACGAGAATTATTACTAGTTTACATTTTAGAGTATCAAATACTGATGATGTTTCAATGTAATGTATTTGATGAAGTATCTGCTTTTTGGCACCTTCCTCTTCATCTGTGGTTGACTACCAGTGGCGATGAAGCAGTGATATCGAGAAACTGAAAGCGATGTAACAATATAAGATATGCAAAAGAAATTTTTTACAATATATACAAGTTTAAAAAAAAATGGGGAAAATCATCTCACTTATCCTCAAGGACATAATAATGAAATAAATTGTATAAATAAGAAAACAATTTTTTTGCAATTTTTATCACTTCCCGTAACGGAAAAATAAAGGAAAGGAAAGATAAAGGGGGGGCGGGAATTATGTTGAACAAGGAGTAAACCAAAACTTTGTTGTCTTCTGTGAAATTTAGAATTTTTCCATTTCAATATTTAGTAACTCAAGTAGTTTTAAGAAAGTTCACGTAGCTTTAAGTTAAGTAGTTTTAAGAAGTTCAAGTAGTCAAGTAATTTTAGTAGTTCAATATTAGTAAAGTATTCAATGATTAGTTATAATGTGGAAAGAAAAATAATACTGGATTCTGCATTTTAAATTTTTTAGTATTCGTAAAACAAAAGGGTAAACCTAAGTTGGGCGTCTTATGTCCACTAAGGCTACTATACTAGGGTCTATATGTCTAATTCAGGGGCTCTAATGTCTACCACAGAACTCCACATTATGGATAGGGCTTATTATTTATTTATATATTTTTATTTATTTACTTTTATTTATTTATTTTTATTTATTTATTTATTTACTTTTATTTATTTATTTTTATTTATTTATTTATTTATTTTTATTTATTTATTTGTTTTGGTGGAGCTGACAGAGAAGCTTATTTTTATAAAGTCTACTGCAAACTATCAAGTTAAGTCAAAAATCATTGCGTTTTTTTTCGTTTTTTTTCGTGCAACATATTGAAGTAGTGCAGTTTCTGATATTCTTGAAGCATTTGCAACAATAATTTTTACATCATTGATAGCTGACCATTTAAGCTTCATCGTATATAAAGAAAAAATTTAACTGTTTTGATGAGTTTTAAAGATTAGATAGTTGAACATGGAAACTCAAAGTGCTGCCATATTTTACTATTTTACTTTAGTCGAAGGAAAATCGTGTATCAAGCTTGTGAAAAATTACGTCAAGTTTACGATGACAATGCTCTACATGAATATCAATGCCAAAACTGGCTCAAAAAATTTCAAGCTGGTGATTTTTATTAGAAAGATGCTCCTCGTTTAGGAGGGCCTTCTCGGATTTATGATGACACAATAACGGCATTGATCCAGTCAAACTCACATTACATGACACGAGAGATTGTAGAGACATTGAAAATCAGTCAAAAAAGTCTCAACGTCCATCTAAGGAAACTGGGTTACGTAAGCAAGCTCGAAATTTGGGCTCCTCACGAATTCGAATAAGTTCATTCGACGGCACGAATAAGCACCTGCCATATGCACTTTCCTTTACAAACTATGAAGTGTAATGTAGGTCACTGAAAGCACTTGTTGAAATATCCAGTATAGTGACATTTAGATACGTTAAGCTAGAAAATTGTTTTGTAAAAACTATTTTAATTAAATTAAAGCTATAATCTGGTAGGAGATTTTTGAACGATGAAATATTGTTGTTCATTTCAATTTTCATGTTAGGTTTTATCGATGTAATAATAAATAAGTACTGATGTGATATGATTTAAATTGGTTTATAACACTAAATAAAATGAAAATTATTTGTTTTTCACTCAATGAAATAGCCGAAAGCGGAAAAAAGTTATAAAAATCTTCTCGCCGGAGATTTTTGCTCGCCAATGAATCGATGACAAGTGCTTTAGTTATTTGGAGAACAAATCAAAGTTTCATAAAAATTGCCTCTTGTGCTTCATTAAATTATTAAACAAATATATAAATGATATCTGTAAAAATATTTAAAAGATAATTTAAAATATAGAATTTTTTTATAGGGGTATTTGAGAAGTGATTTCAAGGTAATCGCTCATAGAGATGCTTATTGTACAACCTGTCCCGGAGATGCTCTTTATAAAATCATTAAAACATGGCCGCGGTTTCCTAAAAAAGTTCCAATTCCGTCATACACATGTGATGTTACAGAGGCACCAACAACTGAAGCTGCCACAACAGCAGCGCCTGCTACCGAAGCTCCAACTACAGCAGCACCTACTACTGCAGCACCTACTACTGCAGCACCTACTACTGCAGCACCTACTACAGCAGCTCCTACTACTGCAGCACCTACTACAGAAGCTCCTACTACTCTAGCTCCAACAGAAGCTCCAACAACATCAATAGCTGCCACTGAAAAGCCAAAGGAAACTGCACCTAAACCTATTACCAAAATCGTTTATGTGGTGTTTCCACAACAACAACAGAAATATCTCCCTCAACAGAAATATCAGTCCTCTTGGCAAAAAAATCCATGGTTGCCACCTTGGGAATGGGAATGGAAATAAATTAAATAAAATGACTAAACCAGTAAAAGCAACTAAAAAGTATTAATGACTGTTAAAGTAATCGTAATTATTTGCGCTGATTTCAGTTTATGGTGACTTTGTTTCAATTTTTGTCGTAATAAATACAAATTACCAACGTATGAATAAACAACGTATGGTGGGCGGAGCTTAACTGTTTCGTTTTTATAATGGTTTTTCGATGCTCTTTCGACAAAAGAAAATAAAAAAAGCCACAGTTTGAATGCCTAATGATAATTTTGAACTATACATGCCATCCTGACGTAAAGAATTGTCTTGGCTTTAGAACGGTCAAATAACTTAAATATTTCAAAGGTTATTAAACTTTTTTAAAAATACCTTATTCTAATTCTTTGCTAATTTTCATGAGCCGAGATTATGCAGTATCAGAGAAAGTTTTTAAATATTAAAAAATTAGACCACAAACGCTTTTTACTTTCTTAAAACTGTGTCATTTCTCCATATTGCCGCTTTGCGTCACTTTTAGAATAAACATAGACGGCAATGGCTTACGATAAGCTGAACTTGATCTAAAAGTCATGAGTAACCTCTGCAAACTTACTGCAAACTACAGTTATAAAAATAGTACATTCGCAAAAAAGCACCATTTCTTGCGAAGACAGAGCCTTCGAAAAACAGCTATAATGAAAACATTTGCTTCAATCTTAGTTCGTTTGAAAGGTACAACCGTTTATCAGGTTCAAATTTTGCTTGTTTCTGTGTGAGGAAGAAAATTTCTTATCTAGTTATTGTAACAGTATGTCTTCATGTCGAACAAGATTGAGGCAAATAATTATATTTTGATTTGTAATGTCAGTTAACAGTTATCTTAACAGCTATGACACAAAATGAAAAAACAATCACGTGTTGTCTATGTTCTCAAAAAAGGGTAAAAAAAATTAAACTATAACAGTAATCAGATAAAATTATTCATATTATTGATGTTTGTAGCTTCTGATACTGCAAAGGTTGTTAGGTCCTATTTTTCAGTTGAATGAGTATCTGTTAACTGCATCGCTGCTTTCCCTCATCCCACCAACTGGTTATAAGCCTATGGAATTATTCTTTCTGTGGTTTTTCTTACTTTTCAACACAATAGGCTTTTAAAATGAGGAAAGAGTTCTATTCACTTGATCTAAGGATGTAAACAAAAAATTCATATTTATAACTTTCTATTGATTGAGTGGCAATTAAAGTGATATTTGAAGATGAACTTCTGATTTAGATGTCATTTAAAGTTAAACATCTCAATTTGCAATGGATTTATACCGGCAGTTTCATGCAAGCTTTAAACGGAAAAAAAAAACATTAAATTGAAAAATAAAATTTTAATATTGCTCTTTCGTTCGCAGAATTATTCATTCACCCATTTTTTCTTGTCAAAGATTTAAAAGAGAAATTTCAATCCCATGGAAATTGGTGTTTAAGCTCCTTGAGATCCGTGCCTCAAAATTTGAGAAATTCATGATCGAGTAATTCCTTTTTCACGTATCTAAGATTCGAATTTTTATTCGTTTAACTTGATTTATTCCATTTGTATTTCGATGACCATAAACAAAGAATTTGTCAGATAGATACTAAAATCTCTCCAATTTTTTTCGCAATTTTCTTCTTAATTTTATGAAAAAGTTAAATAACTCCAATTTTGTCTCTGTTTGTTCTTTGCGAAGGGAGTTATTTCTATAGACAAACTATATATGTGTTATGACTGTCAAAATGATAGTCAGAAATATTCCAATTCCCGCGAAAACAAAGTAAATATGAACTGATTTTTCTCCAGTTTTCCCTCTTTTCTGAGTTATGTTTACTTTACTTTACTTTACCTTTCAGCATCATCATGATTAATATGTATATGGGAGTCTGAGGTCAATTACGGTTCTTTTGCCACCATCCATATTGTAAATAGAGACATTGAGGTGATACTTTTCAGTGACTGTAATGCAAATTGGAATAAAAACATATATATAAATATTTTGTATTCTATGAAAAGATGTATTGCTCTGTTACAAAAGACAAACAACCTAGCACTTACATGTTCAGATATAGTTTCTCGTTGCTATAAAATCTGTGAGGGAGCTAATTATTTTTTATTTATATCAAAAATGTTTTCATACCAATTTCTTTTAAACAGGGTTCCCACGGTCTGAAAATTATTTTAAAGTGATAGCGAAAGTGATATAAATCTAGATGTTTTAAGCTACTAATAAATTTTTAATTTAATGTAAATATAAATGGGTGCCAAAAAATTACTCGGGAACAATTTCGTAATTCTCTTTCCGTAATTCTCTAAAATTTAGCTTTCTATGAAAGCAAAATTTAAGCATTTTTCAGTAATCTTGAAAAATCTTAGCTACAACTCATTTATTTTTTCCAGATCGTGGGAACCTTGCTTAAAATAGATTTCTCAGACGGAATTTTTTACTTTATATATTTCCCTTAACGCTTTAGCACAGAATGTTTATTAAACATATTTTTCATGCTTTTTTCATTATTTTGTATTATTTTTGGTCAAAATAAAAAAATATATATATTTAGCATTTTAATAATTTATGGTTAGGGAATATAGTATGAAACTCACGATATCTTTTTCTGAGTTAGAAGTAAAATCTTCCCAACACGGCTCATTTCGAAAAATAATTTTACAAATTTGCACTTTTTTGCGAAGCTAAGAAAAACAGAATAATCTAATGGATTTAAATATATTCATAATGGGATGCCGTTAGCTTGCCTAAATCTCTTAGCACATTTTTTAAAATAAGTTTTTTTTTTTAAAAATATTAAAAGTCAATAGTTCTTTTAAAAGCGCTTTTTCATCATACGGCATGACGCCGATCAAATCGGATAACGGCATGACGGAACAATTATATCGCTGTCAGATGATTAGGCTGACGCTTTTTCATTAGTCCGATGTCGCTTCCTTGTGCCGAGAAAGACGAAAATACTGCTGACCGTAGTGAATATCATATAAAGAATTTGAGTGAGTGGAAGAAAATAAAATGCTTTTCTTCACGAATTTTCAAAGCAAAATATTTCCTTTATACATTTTGTTGAAAACGCAAACGAGGAGTAGTGCCATTTATAAAATGAGAATAATTGCTAAAATGGCAAATAAAAAAATTTTACTCGTGGTATTTAATGGTAAATATTTGAATTCCCGTTGATTCGATTTCTCCGAGAGCGTAATGTACTCTTTGAAGGAAATTCCGATAAAAAGGGTCAGGCTGTGTGATAAGTGCCTGATGATCTGCAAATCACCGACAAAGCATATTCAACATTCAAATGGATCAAATTTTGCACTAAAGAGAACTTACAACAATCAGCATTTAAACGAAAATCATGCATCATATTTAAAACCAAATTCAAGAAAATCAATTTACTAACTAAGTCTTCTATTTTAAGTAATGCACTACTGACTGAGGTGAAAAAAAAATGACGATTGATAATGTAATGTAAATAGTTATTACTAGAGCCCGGATTTTGATGACCTAAAAAATCCCCATTAATGCCCTTAAAAAGTGCAAAAAATGCCCTTAAAAAGTGCAAGAAATGCCCTTTAAAATGCGAAAATTGCGCTACAAATGCCTTATGACATGACTTAAATAAAGTAAAAATATTGAACTGAAACAATGTTTTACTCTTTAAAATTATTATGAGCCATTTCAAAAAATGTAAAGCAATGCAATACTTATTCTACGTTCATTAAGGTTTGAAAAATATGTTTTATATCCTAAAATAGCAAAAAAAAGGAAAATAGATTGACTCCAAAACATTTTCATTTTGTATAGAAACTTTAATGAATGTAACAACTTCCATCTCATAATATTACTAAATATCAAAATTACATTGGATTATTAATTTTTTTTTTTGATATTTCGAAATGTAAACGAGCGTCTCTTGTCTGAAAGTAAATTTTTATACCTGGAGAAGCTTCTTTCAACGTTTACTGATGTTATTGGTGCGTACTTGAAAAAGACGGTCTCACTTACTGACAATTCTTCTTTAATTTGAAAAGATGTTGCTTCACCTGTTAATATCCTAGAGATTTTCCTCACTGTTTGGAAGCCAGTGTAATGATAAAAAAATAATAAGAATTGGAAAAAACTAACAAAAAATTTAAAAAATGTTTTAAAATGCAAAATAAGCCAACAAATTTAATGAAAAATGCCCTATAAATCTAAAAAAATGCTCTAAAGGACAAAAAATTTCCAAAAATGCAAAAAATGCAAAAGAATGCAAATGTCATCAAAATCCGGGCCTTAGTTATTACAATACCTTTTTTATAGAACAATTTAAATCGCTAAAAGGGAAATCACTGTAATTAAAACTGGAAGATTGCTATCATCCTAGTACATGGTACTCACAAGACTTGGTGAAATACACAGGTTCATATATTACAAAAAATTTTATTGTGTGTATCAATAAATCTTCGTTAAGTAATTAACTCGTTTTTTTCTCGTAAAGTAGATAAATAAGTGAAAGCATTTTAGTTTCAAGGCTCGCACCATATAATAGAGTTCTAAGGCTAATTATAAGCTGTCGAAAAGACGTTTTTGAGAAGCTTCAGGAATGTCAATAGAAAGAAATTCAAATTTAATGTTCAAAGTTCAGAATAAAATAGCCTATAAAGCGTTCGCCTTCCAATAAGGTGAACCGGATTCAAATCCCAACGATGGCTGGTGGATACGAATTCCGCACCCGGCTCGGACCGACGACAGTGCTGACTTAAAATAATATCAGTGGTAGACGAATCATGGTATAGAGTCCGATTGCCGTCAGGCTAAAGGTGGGAGGGTTACGTGGTTTTCTCCTCCATGTAGCGCAAATGCAGGTTAGTTCCTCCACAAAGTCCTCCACCAAGGCAAATTTTCACCCCAATACTTGATCTAGGAGTTCCCTTGTTTTCTGGATTGGGTTTAAAATTACAAGAATACGGAGTTGAACGTTAGTTGTCGTAAATCCAAAAACTGGGTCGGCTGTTCATCGACGGTTATGAAATAAAATAAAATAAACTAACTTTTATCTAACTGTATCTATGTGTTTAGTCGTGCCAGTCAACCCAGCGATATTTTTTGTTTTTATTGTTAGGTACCAGGGATATTGTGGGGTTTTATAAATCAACTATGTCAACCTTCATCTATCAAAAGGTACTTCTTTATAGAATCAAGTTAACATGTCTTATATACTAGTGAATTAGAAATTTAGTATTTATAGTGGTAGTTACGCCACATTGCTCCCCTTCCAGAATTTTATTTGTGATAGAATTCGATGAACGATTACCACTAGTTGATTCATGCTGCTTATTTATTTATTTATATCAATTTTGCTCATAGTATTTTTTCTTATTTTTTTTGTTTATAGCATTTCGCTCATTATTTTTCCCCTTAATTTTTGTTCATTGACCGGCAGACTTAATTTACTTCACCGGAATTTTTTTTCTTTGAACAGTATATATATTTTAAGCAAATCAACTGATTTTTAATGTGAACCATCCATCAATGACAAGTTCACATCACGTCCGCAGGTCACCAATGAGGGGATTTAACTATCGACTGTGTCAACCTTCATCTATCAAAAGGTACCTCAAAATAGAATCAAGTTAAAAAGGCTTATATACTAGTGAATTGGTATTTAGTATTTATAGTGGTAGTTACGCCACAAATTTTCAATAAAATTCACTTACAATATATAATATATAAATAGGTATTCTTTTTCTCCCTTTTCTTCTTCGTAGTTTAAATCTTTTAGTCCATTAAGTAAACTTGATCACTTTATTTTACAGTTTCTTCACAAACTTAAAAACTGAAAGGTTGGCAAAAATAAGAATCACTGATTGCTAGGTGAAATCTAATAAAGTTTTTTTTCAGTAAAAAAGCTTACTATTCTATGTAAACATTGAATTTGAACTTAATTATTCACAGACACTTAATAAAAACACATAACTTTATTACTTTTCCTATAAGTTTGAGCTTCATAATTATTTAACAAGCAAGCATGGAATTTGTCTCTCGTGAANTTCTTCACAAACTTAAAAACTGAAAGGTTGGCAAAAATAAGAATCACTGATTGCTAGGTGAAATCTAAAAAAGTATTTTTTCTTCTTTTGAGTAAAAAAACTTGCTATTCTATGTAAACATTGAATTTGAACTTAATTATTCACAGACACTTAATAAAAACATATAAGTTTGAGCTTCAGTTTGTTTGAGCTTCAGTTCCTATAAGTTTGAGCTTCATATTTATTTAACAAGCAAACATGGAATTTGTCTCTCGTGAAAAATGGGGAGCTCAAGATCCCAACGACGTAGCAAGTCTTAGTACTCCAGTTTCTCTTCTATTTATCCATCGCACTGGAGGTGAACATGAATACGATGACGAGAAGAGTTCCATCAGAAAGATGAAACGTTTGCAAATTATTGACATGGATACCAAAGGGCATGATGATATAGGATATAATTTCGTTATTGGTGGAGATGCTCGCGTCTATGTTGGACGTGGTTGGGACAAAATTGGAAAACACACCTTTGGCTACAATCATATCTCTCTTGGCATTGCTTTTATGGGAAACTTCATGGAGGAAAAGCCCTCGATACCAATGATCGAAGCAGGAAAATCACTCGTCGAATATGCTGTAAGTGAGGGTTATCTTGCGAGGGATTATAAGCTGTATGGTCACAGGGTAGTTAGTCCAGGCACTATCGAATGTCCGGGTAACAAACTTTACGATGTCATTAAAATGTGGCCTAATTTTTCTCCTCAACCACCGCATCAATTAAAGAGAAAATTATCTCTCGCCCTTAACTAATCCTCTCTTCAGAAGATACTCTCTCATAACAAGTACCACAACGTTGGATATAAGTGTAGTGAAGAATTTTTAAAACCTGTTAATTAAATATTACTGAACACTCTCTTATTTTAAATAAACCTTTCAAAAGAAATTTATTGTTGTAATTTTTTACTGTGTGCAAATTTTAATAGTAATATTACCAAATTGGTATGAAATGAAAGAACACTTCCTAAAACACCAATATATATAATAAAGCAACTTTCCGGTTTGTGCATGTAAGTTTATTTTGGGAATTAGTACCAGAAGAACTTTTAACTACCTGATGATGAAGAGTCCTTTCATTTCGTGTCGCGTAGTTTTTTCATTCTTTAAAATGTCACTGTCTAAACAATGTCTAAAGAAAAAGTGTTACCATATATTCATAAATAATGATGATTTTAATAGAGGGTCTCTAGTTTGGCAGCATTTTAAATCGCCAATGCAGCGAAAACTGAAAAGTTCAAATGAGTGTTAGGAATTAAAATTCTTAACAAATGGAGGATTACGGACAATAAATAAAAGAAAAAGGAAATATAATTTTCTAGTACAAAAACCACTGACATTCCAACTATGGGCAAAATTAAAAAAGAAAGAAAGAAAACAGGAAATTTTTGCTTGTTTTCTGCTTACAGAAAAAAAAATTTATGAAAATTTTAAATTCTTTGCAAAAGTAATGCAGATTTAAAGGAAAGGAAACTTTTGTACCTTATTTCATACTAAAGGTCAACACTAGTTAATTAAAATGTATTAAGTGCACTCTTCGTAGGATACAATATTAGGTGAAAATTTAATCATTATATTAAAAATTATTTTGGAGGATTTCTTTTTTTACCTACTACAGATAATAGACATATAACATCTTTCATTCAAAAAGGGAAAATAATAGGATTATACAAGAATATGCATTTTTGTACTAAAAAATATCCTCACTCATTGAAAAAGTCTAGGTGAAATCAATACTGTAGAGAAGAAGCTAGCGTGGACGTGTGTCTGACAGGGTAGAACAACACATTTCTGCTCTTTATCAATCAAAATTTAACTTTTAATTTTGATAGATTGACTAAATTATGTTATACTTTCACATGCAGTTGCAATACAGCACACTTGATTGACAAGTAACACATTTTTAAAAAAATTAAGGTGGAAAAATAAATTCATGTTTCCCTTCAGTCTATTTCTATCTATTATTTTTTTTAAAATTAGCGATATTATCTAATAACTTATTACATATGATAATACTTTTGATAATTTTGATAATTACTTTTAGTTTGCATTTTTTAATTAACTGATAATGAACTGAAATGAACTAATGACACCACTAGATAGTGTAGAGTTAACTCTAGCATAAATTTCTTTTTTTACTTTATTATAATTTTCCTGAAAAAATTGTTAAATAGCAATTTATTTAAGTGTTACTTTAACATGCTCAAACAAAACAGTCAAATAACTCTAAATAAGATCATATTCAAACTGTTAACAGTGAAAAAAAAACTTTATTAACTGCTTTCACATAATGCGGTTAAACAACCAGAATTTTATCGCCCACAACTACGCTCTCATAATGAAGACACTTAATTCCTTGTAGCTGGGTACTGCTGAGGGCTAATCTGTTAATCTCGTGACCGGTAGAACGGGGGTTCGAATCCCAGCATTGACACCACAATATTTCCTCCATTCCCTTCAACATATGAAGAGATTCCAGTGTCCTGTACCTTAGACTACAAAGCTACTTAAGACTAAAAAATCTAGTATTTCCTATTTCTTACGATACGTGAAACAACCAGATAAACTAATTAAACCACATTCCACTTCACGCTTCACTTGATAAAACACAATTACTTTAAACACAAGAACCATAATGTAACTCCAATGCCCAACTGCTTTACGAAAAGCCCAGCTCCAATGTCCAGTTAAATTTCTTTTTTCCGGCTTTGAAACCAGGCTAGTTGTAAATGGTTAAAAAATCATGAAATTTTGTATATACAGTTTTTTAACCATACTAGTTGTAAATGGTTTAAAAACCGTAAAGATTAAAAGTGTTCTTTACCTTAAACTATATGATTAATTAGGTGGACAAACTGATGCCGGCTATTTTGCAGTAATTTAGAATGAAAATTCTAACTGTACAGTATAAGATGCCACTTTAATGTTTAACGGTCTAGTAAGTCAAAATTCTTATGCAAAAATTTTTTCAAAATAATATATATTAATGATCACAAGTATATTAAATGATCAAAGTTTGTCACGTATTTGTAGCCACTATCAAACTCATTTTAAACAATACCATGATGAAGCTTTTTGTGATAATAACATTGGATAATTTTTGACACATCATTCATTAGATAATTATCAAAAAAATTGATTAATTTTGATAACCATCTAGTTTATTTTGAATTTACAATTTTTCCACTTTTTAAGTACTTAGTTCAGGTACAATGAAAATGTAAGAAAAATAATGCCTTAGCACTTATTTTAAGTTCTTTTTTAAATTCAAAATGCTGTAACAGATGTATAATGTGTACGTTGGAAATTTAATTAATTCATCTGCCTCTAACCTGACATTTAATATTGTTTCGCCAAACTAATTAATAAAATATAAATTAAATTCGACTTTAACAATAAAACAACATTTTTTCTTCTAAATGAATCTTATAAATACAATTCTCATGGAACCACTTGTTTCTAAAATGATTTTTTGCATGATTGTAATTTTATCTCTTTTAGTAATTTTGTAAAAATTGTCCACATTAGTTCCCCCTTTTACCACCCCATAAAATTGTAAGTGCTTCGCAAAATAATACCAAATTGGTTAAAAATGATAATTCAATTATTAAAAGAATATATGTAGTACTTTAAGAAGAAAATATTCTTATTCCTATTATACACATTATTAGTAGAAAATATGAATAGAAACTAAATTACTATTATCATAATTATAATTAATAATAATCATTATTATTATTATTCGCCAGTCAATAGATATGGTAGTAATTCGAATCCCACACCACTAATATAAAACTTTTATTCATTAAAATGTTTATGAGTTTGGAAGGTTGAAGGAAGGTGGATATTTTTTGTACTTGACAGAAAAAGTTGAATTAGTGTTTGAATCAGAGTTTTTGGACCACGGCAACTATTAGTTTTAATTTCCTTTCTATCATCGTAAAATCACACAAAATTGAAAATAATGTACAAGATTAGATATTATAACTATAATACAATATATTATTCACTTTTTAACTTATGTAGTTGTTGTTGAAATAATAAATTAATCTAATCTATAACTATAAAATGAAGAGTTTGTGCATCTAGTGTGATGAGTGTCTTATAACTCCAGAACCGTTTGCACTGAAATTTGGACTGTAGGTGAAAAGAACAATTTTAACCCCGAATCACAAAAAATGGAAAATGGAATTGTCTCATTAGCTTAAAACTCGCAATCGATAAAAAATTTAAATAGAAGACGACATTTTTTTCAAATATTTTAAATTATCAGAGATGTTTGCTAGCTTATAGCTCTCATTTGCAAAATTAAGAGTTCATTGCACGTTTTCTGATATTTAGTTATTTTTTATTCGTTATGTCAGATAAACTTTGATCAACTTGAGCGTAGTTTCATAGATGAGATGCGTAAGTAACTCAGCATTTCTAAACTTATCTGAAACCACCTGTTTCATTTGTTCATAGCTATGCTTTTAAAATGTGTTTATATGAAACTAAAAATAAATATGAAGCCAACTGTAATTGAAACATAAAATGAGTTACATAAAAAGCTAAATTAATGGAGAAATGTTACTGATTCTTTTAATAGAAGTGTAATAAGACGTCAAACTATTATAAGCGATAATGATGCTTATATAATTTTAATTGTAAGTACTAATTGAAAATAAAAGTTATGTACTGAAAAGAAAAATTAATGGAGAAAGTTACTTATTGTTTTAAGGAATAAGGCTAAAAAATTGCCGTACCATAATTGAAGCTAATGAACTTTAATTAATTTTGATAATAGTTCCTAATTAAAATTAAAAAGAATGCTATGTACTAAAGTGCAAAATTAATGGCTAAATGGTACTTATTCTATTAAGTGAACAGTAAAAAATCGCCAAACTATTATAGACGCCAATGATACCTTTTTAGTTTCAGTAGTAGTTAATTATTTAATTTTATTTTATTTTGTATCCGTCATTGAACAGCCGACCCAATTTTGGGTTTACGACTACTAATGTTCAACTCCGTATTCTTGTAATTTTGTACCCAATCCAGAAGACAAGGAAACTCCTGGATCAAGCATTGGGAGAAATTTGCCGTAGTGGAGGACTTTTTGATGGAACTAACACGCATTTGAATTACATGGAAAGGAAGAACACGAGAACCTCCCACCGTTAGTCTGACGACAAGGGGACTCTAACCCATGATACGTCTACCACTGAGGATATTTCACGTCACCACTGTGGTCGGTACGAGCCGGATGCGGAATTCGTATCGAGCAGCCATCGCTGTGATTCGAACCCGGTTCTCCTCAATGGAAGGCGAAAGTTCGATCCCCTGAGCCATCACGGTTTCATAGTTATTTATTGAAAAAAAGCTGTGAGCTAAAAAAACAAAATTAATTCAGAAATGGTACGAAGTTATTTAGGAGAAGTGTAAAACAATCGCCATTCCATTAGTGACGCCAATGATCCATAATAAATTTTGGTAACAGGCACTACTGGTATTATGGTAATTGGTGCAGTTTTAATAGGTACCAAATATACTAACGTAGGTAATTGGTACCTTTAAAAACTGCCCCAATACTGTACAATTTTAATATAGATATTGAGAAAAAAGATTTTAACGGTCCCTCGAAAGGGATAAGTTCAGGAGATAATTGCTCGATTGTCCAAACAAATGGTACTAAATGCTGTTAATCTTTATTTTGAAGGGATGAAGTACTAAAAATGCGTAAACGTGTTGCTTAATCTAATAACGTAAAGACAACGGGAAGAGGAAGAAAATTTAATTATTTTAGCTTCAGTGATTGTGTCGGTTTATGTGTTTCAGTTTTGTGCATAATTTCGCAGCGTTTGTCAGCACTGATTCGTTGATTGTTTACTT